CGGCATGTGAGTACTAAACTAAGTTCTCACACGAGTACAAAAACAGTCAGTTATGTCTGTGAAGGTAAACAGCTGGGAAAGAAATCGCTTGTTTATATTAGATTGTTATATTGCTTGTTTATCTGTGTGGCAGCAGCAATATACAGTAAATAAATCAATAAATCCACTGCTCTCTTGTCTCCTCTGAGGCTGGGACTCTAAATAGTGTTCTGTGCTCGTCTGTGCAGCCAAAGGCAGAACTGTTAGCATGTTTTGCTCAAACTTTCGTCATGGCATTAGAACTGGTACACCGTTGTCGCTTGCGAAAACACAATAACAGTGCCGTGGGTGTAAACTTACAGATTAAAGAGTTAGTTCACCCAAAATGAAAATTAGTCCATACATTTCTCACCCTCAAGTCATCCTAGGTGTATATGAAAGTGAAAGTGATATGTGGCCAAGTATGGTGACCCATACTTGGAATTAGTGCTCTGCATTTATCCCATCCAAAGTGCACACACACAGCAGTGAACACACACACACACACACCATGAACACACACCTGGAGCAGTGGGCAGCCATTTATGCTGCGATGCTCCCGGGGAGCAGTTGGGGGTTCGGTGCCTTGCTCAAGGGCACCTCAGTCGTGGTATTGAAGGTGGGAGAGAGCGCTGTACATTCACTCCCCCCACCTACAATCCCTGCCGGTAGGAGACTCGAACTCGCAACCTTTGGGTTACGAGTCCGACTCTCTAACCATTAGGCCACGACTTCCCCAATATGACTTTATGTATGTATGACATATACATACATAAAGACTATGTATATGACTTTCTTCTTTCAGGCGAATCCAGTCGGAGTTATATTAAAAATTGACTTTGATCTTTCAAGCTGTTTCATGGCACTCAGCGGGTGTTGCATGCATCAGTCCAAAAGAAGTTGAATAAAAAGCAATAATCCATAAAAAAAAGTGTATCACACGGCTTCCGGGGGGTAAACAAAGGCCACCTGTAGCGAATCGATACGTTTTGTAAGAAAAATATCCATATTCAAAACGTAATAATCACTAGCTTGCGCCAACAGTTGTACACGGAAGCAGTTCCGGACGGATGACGTATGAGTTCAGCGTTGCGCATGCGCCGGTGAGTCTCGTGAAAACCAACGTTTGTTAACAGGAGCAAAGGAAGCAAAGTTTCCTTACTTTAGCAAAGGAAAACCAGTCTCCTCTTGGCTTATATCGAAATCCTCCGACATTCTTCTTTACAAATCCTCGTTTTGTACTTCTAATTAGTGACCGTTGTTTTGTTTTGATCTCTCCTCTGCGCTTCCGCGTTCGTCACTTCTGAGCGGCGCATGCGCAAAGCTGACCTCATACGTCATCAGACCGGAACTGCTTCTGTTTACAACAGTGAGCGCAAGCTACATTAAAAGGATTATTACCTTTTGAATATGGGTATTTTTCTTTCAAAAACGTATTGATTCGCTACAGAAGGCCTTTGTTCACCCCCCGGAGCCGTGTGAGACATTTTAGGGGCGGTAATATTATAATGAGACCCCTTTGCCACGTCACTAGGGGAGCGAAATCAGACGCGCTCGTTTTTTTAGATGCTTGCAGAAAAAGTCTTACCAAAACAAAGTTACTGGGTTAATCTTTTTCACGTTTCCTTGGTTGGTAGATGCACCGGGGACCTGATTGTAGCACTTAAAACCTGGAAAAGTCAGATTTTCATGATATGTCACCTTTAAAATATTTCTTGATTTGTAAGTTATTTTTTATGATTACTGCAGCCAACATAGAGGAGGTCGTCAGATTAATGAGGATAATGCTTTGATATGTGTGTGTGTGTGTGTGTGAGGCTTGACCTGCGGACGTTGCCGGTGGATTTCGTGGAGTGTTTGATGAGGTTCATTCCAACGGAAGCGGAGCTGAGAGTTCTCCGGCAGTATGAGAAGGAACGCAAACCTCTGGAGAACCTGACGAATGAGGATCGCTTCATGATCCAGTTCAGCAAGATCGAGCGTCTCATGCAGAAGATGACCATCATGGCATTCGTGGCCAATTTCACAGAGAGCATTCAGATGCTCACGCCGGTAAATCACTCAAACCCAGAGCTGCTCTGGCACACTGCCAGCACGTTTGGTCAAGAATTAAGCAGGATTTTCTAGTATTCGCTCCAAATATCCCAAGCAAATTTAGATAACTAATCTAGACTTGCCCATGGATCTCCTCATATTTCTATAATACCTGTTTCTTTTCCTCTCTTGAATTCTTTCATGACCCTTCTTCACATGATGCTTTCCATGAATAGAGGGCAAAACCATGTTTTCTTACAACTCAAAATTTGTTAAGAAAATGCTGATCGTTCAACTCAAGCTAAGGTGAAACTAGTATATTAATTTGACCAAAATTTGCAATGTCTAAATGCACTTGAAAACACTTTCATTGTTTTAGTGTTTTCATTGTTCTAGCAATTAACAGTGAATAAACATATAAATAAATAATTAAATAAATAAATATATATATATATATTATGCTCAAGAATTTAAGCTCAAGATGTAGCTAGTTTGGCACCAAATATTGTTTTGTAGTTACTGATGATCTTATATTTTTCATAAATTAAAGATAAATACTTAAATACTACTACTGTGCAATGATGTTTCTTGTAATAACGGCTGAGCTTGACAAGTGCAGTCAAGACTACAATATGTGAAAAAATTAATAAATAAAAATTAAATAATGTTGCATACAGTTGAATTGGTGCATATGATACCACTTTAGATGTTTCCCACTTTACAATTTTTGATGTATTTGTCACAGTACATATTCATTTTTGTTAACGTTAGTTAATAAAAATACAACTGTATATTGTTAGATCAGGTTAACTCAGGTTCATTATATAATATGAACAGAAACTACTTTTTATTTTAATTATGTATTAGTAATACTTTATAAGTGCTGAATTAACATTAACTAAGATGAAGAAATGCTGTAGAAGTATTTGTCATGTAAACTAATGTAAAGTGCTACCCATTGTTTTAAGTAGCTAGTTTTAATGAAGAATTGTATCATATTTGGACCTTTTGTACATGTTCTATTATTGTCTTTTGTTTTTGTCTCAACAGCAACTTCACGCCGTTATTGCCGCATCTGTCTCTATCAAGTCCTCACAAAAACTCAAGAAGATTCTGGAAGTAAGTGTTTCACTTCTGCTCTGATTCATTTTTCTCCAGACTGTGCGTGTCTTTATCGAGCGTGTGTTTCTCTCTCAGATCATCTTGGCTCTGGGAAACTACATGAACAGCAGTAAACGAGGAGCGGTGTACGGCTTCAAACTGCAGAGCTTAGACCTGGTACACTTTACGTAGTAAATGTACTCAAATATTGGTTGTTAAAGTTAAATCCTTATGAATTATGAATGCAGAAGAAAAAAAACACCCCTCATTTACTATTTGTTATTTATAGCATGCAAAGTGTGATATGACATTCAAACCACCATGATAGATTTTGAGCTTCATCCATAATCCAACACATTTTTTTTTTATAATAACAATAATATTATAATAATATTTATAAATTGCTGATGAAAGTAAGATGCACCAAGTACCTCTGGAATATGTAATGCAATATTCTTTCATTCGTCTTGTGAAGTAAAAAGCCACATTAAAATATTTTCTTAATTTGTGATGTAATAACAATATGTCATATTGTAATAACAATGTAATAACAATCATGCAGTTGAGGGTTCAAATGTTTTCCTGTTCCAGTTATTAGACACTAAATCGACAGACCGCAAGGTCACTCTTCTGCACTATATCGCAAATGTAGTGAAGGAAAAATACCAGCAGGTGTCGCTCTTCTATAATGAGCTGAACTATGTGGAGAAAGCTGCAGCAGGTATGAAACTTCATATGCAAATTTGATTATATTTACAATAAACAGGGTGGATCATATTTGCTCAAACCGATCTCAACTAAATGAATTCTCTCTCAGTGTCTCTGGAGAATGTCTTATTAGATGTGAAGGAGCTTCAGAGAGGCATGGATCTGACCAGGAGAGAGAACAGCATGCACGGCCACAACACAATGCTCAGAGATTTCATACAGCAAAATGAGAACAAACTCAAGAAACTTCAGGATGATGCCAAGATCGCTCAGGTGCTGCTAACACAGCACACACACATCTGCTCAATAAACCTGTTTCACTCTCAGTTAAAGGGGTCACGTCATGAGGAATCTTGTTTTCCTTTATCATTTGATATTATCATAAAATCATAAAAACATCATATACATTTCTAAACTCAACACTTCCTCCCCAGGACCATATATTGAAAATAAGCTGCAAAATGGCTTATCAAAACTTCCACAACTTTCTTAAAGCTCTGTGTATGCACAGATATGAATAAAAGCCTAAATTAATCCTAAATGTGTTCATCATATTAAGCAATTCTGTCTCTTCAGAAGACTTGGATTAAACTGCTTGATTCATATAAAGGGGAAATAATTAAATAATAAAAACTGTGTCATATGACACCTTTAGATTGTTTTTTTTTTTTTAAATGATGAAATTATATTTCATGTGATTTTGAATGTTGTTTATCTCTCTGTCTTCTCTTATCTCATTCTCTCAGGATGCCTTTGATGAAGTGGTGAAATTCTTTGGAGAGAACTCCAAAACAACACCCCCGTCCGTGTTTTTCCCAGTGTTTGTGCGCTTTGTGAAAGCATACAGGGTAAAGCGACCAATCACCTGCTTCGCTTCATCCAGTCACACCATTACATCGCTTGCTTCACTTTCTTCAGTCATGCGAACCCTAACGCCATTGATCTCTCATGTTACATCACTTCCAAATCCCTCACTGCTGGGTGTTTTCTCTCTGTCAGCAAGCAGAGGAGGATAACGAACAGAGGAAAAGACAGGAGCAGATGATGATGGAGAAGCTGATTGAGCAAGAAGCTATGATGGAGCAAGAGGATCAGAAGGTACAAAGGAGTGTGTGTGTGTGTGTGTGTGTGTGCACTGGTTTGGGTAGTTTATGAGGACAAAAATTTGTATAATGACATGGTATGACACAGGTATTACAATATGAAGGTGGTTTATGAGGACACTTTATGTGTCCCTGTAATTCAAAAGGCTTAAAAAACATACTAAATGTTTTTTTTTTTGTTTTTTGTGCGCGTGCGCGTGCGCGTGCGCGTGTGTGTGTGTGTGTGTGTGGGTGCGTGTGTGTGTGTGTGTGGGTGTGTGTCGGGGAAGTGGGTTACTTAACTATAGTTTGGGGACAAAACTAGCTTCTGAAGGGAGCTAAATCTGTAACTACATCGAAATCCAGGAATGTCATTGTTTGGAAAAATTATTCATGAATCATTTACTATTAATGAATCTTATTTATTGTATTTATTTGATTGTATTTTATTTCATTTTGTTATTTTAGTTTACTTTTTAGTAGGGTTTGTTTTAGGGTTACTTTTTAGTATATACAATGAGAAATAAAACACTTGGCAAGTAACTTTATTAACAACCTAAATGCAACATAATTCATGATAGTCTGCCCTTCAGCAATGTAAATGTTGTAAGAAAAATCAAAGACAGTTTTATTTTCATGGCCAGTAAAAAATACAATTAAGGCCAATTCATTTTCTTGTTTATTGGCAAAAATTAATTTTGGACCCTGTGTGTGCATGTACCTACTTAACCATATTTTGGGGGCAACAGTATAAAAATACAGTACATATTTTTTTTAATTGTAAAAATACAGAAGGTTTTCTGTTTAGGTTAGTTTATAGAATTCATAACTATTGTCCTCTTTCAGCGCGTGTGTGCGTGTTTGCCGATCCTCTCTGTTGTCACTGTGTTTAAAAACATTATTTATCTGGTTAGAGGAACATTTGTAGATGTTTGTAGATTAAAGACAGCCCATTCAGCATTAATTGTGGATCTGTGACACAGTGTGTGTGTGTATGTGTGTGTGTGTGTGTGTTCAGTCTCCCTCTCATAAGAATAAGCGGCAGCAGCAGGAGTTGATTGCGGAGCTGAGGAAAAAGCAGGTGAAGGACAGCAGACACGTCTATGAGGGTAAAGACGGAGCCATTGAGGACATCATCACAGGTAACACACACAATCGATGTTTTGCTGATGGGGTCTGCATGCAGAGGGCTTTAAAATGTAAAAAGAGTTGTAACGTGTTAGTTTGATCCACTAACCAGCTCTCTGTGACTGGTGGAAAGCTTCACTGCTCAATAACAATTTACTGACCAGTGTGATTCCAGGCTGAATGTGTGTGTGTGCTGTTACTGCTTACAGCTGTGAGCTGGAGTACAGCTACTAAACACTGTGTGGTTAGTGTTCACTGTTAGACCTAAAGGGGTCATATCATACTTTTCTTTATGTATTTATTTATTTATTTTTACCTGAGGTCCACTTGACAAGTCAAATTTGTATTTGTATAAGTTGTAACGTGTTAGTTTGATCCACTAACCAGCTCTCTGTGACTGGTGGAAAGCTTTACTGCTCAATAACAATTTACTGACCAGTGTGATTCCAGGCTGAATGTGTGTGTGTGCTGTTACTGCTTACAGCTGTGAGCTGGAGTACAGCTACTAAACACTGTGTGGTTAGTGTTCACTGTTAGACCTAAAGGGGTCATATCATACTTTTCTTTATGTATTTATTTATTTATTTTTACCTGAGGTCCACTTGACAAGTCAAATTTGTATTTGTATAGTGTTTTTCACAATACTAATTTATGGAAAATCATGATGTTAGTGTTTATATCTCAATGTTTATGTCTCAATATCTTCATGCCTTACAGTTGCATTTAGTAGATTAGACCTGAGCAATAATAGAGTTTACATTTTATAACTATACAAGCCATCAAAGCAGTTAAGAAATCCTATATAGTACATACTAATTACTTGAGTGCACTGTATACGGATAAAGTTGGATATGTTTATATATCCTGCATTTTTTTGACAGCTCCAGGGTTTTTTATCAAACTTCCAAATTTTTTGTATTGCCGCCCACAGTCAGTCAGATTTTTTTTTTTTTTTTAAAGGGTAAGGCTTATCTTTGAACAAAGAATAAGCATAATTGACATATTAATGTATTTTGTATAGATAGATAGATAGCTCTCTTTTTTCACTGTGGACTAAAGGATCATTTCAAAAAATATTATTTCTAAAAATGACATGTAAATATGAATTCAATATGACCCCTTTATAGAATTTTTGGTAACACTTTATTTTAAGGTGTCCTTGTTACACTGTAGTTAATTAATATTACTCTAATTACACTGTAAAAAGGACACCTTAAAATAAAGTGTAACCACATTTTTTCATTTAAATTCTAACCATGACAAAACAATCTCTGTAATGAGTCTAGTAATTAAGAGAACAGAATTAGATAATTATTTGTTGTACCTTTTGTGTAATTCTCTTCACAGCTGCATTACTATTTTAAGCGTGCATGCAATCCATATTGAAATAGTTTCAGCTTTATATAATAGCTGTTACAGTACCATGTGATAATTAGTGTGTGCTGTTGTGTGTAGTAAGTGCTAACATTGTGCTTGTTGCTCTGGCAGTTAAACCCTGTGTTGTTTGTATGTGTGTGTTTCGTCTGGACGCAGTGCTGAAGACTGCCCCCTTTACTGCGCGCACGGCCAAACGCAGCTCGCGTTACTTCAACGAGGAGCTCCACTTCTAAAGCTTAGACTCTCTCTCTCTTAAAGGTCGCTGGATAAACCTGCTCTCTTTCATTCTCTCTCTGTGTGTGTGTGCACGCACCCCTTCACACTTCACATTCCTGGTTTTATTTCCCTGTGGGGCGACCCTTTTGAATGGGGGCCGGCGTATGGATGGGATGTCGTGGGCGTGTTCATTTTCCTTTCTTTTCCAACCAAACTCCTGCTTGAAGGGGGGTTTGGGGAGGGAAGCACATGTTGTCGCCAAAGTTTTCTTTTGCATGGAGTGTGTCATCATAAAGTCATCATTGTAACATGAATGTTATAAGAGGAAATATGATGTCACAAAAACCCAAACACGTCAGAGTTTAGAATTGACTCTTGTGTGCATTTCAGCTGTGATGGTTTAAACAGATGTGACAGTACTATCGGTTGACTCAGAGCGCCCTCTGCAGTTATAAAATGAGCTAAAGTTTTTACCATTAAAAATAAAAAAATAAAAGATGATTCTGGTTTTGTAAAAGCCCAGAATGCGCTAAAAGTTAATTGGACATTGTCACTGGTGTTATGTTTATCTTGTTATAATAGCATATTTTTTTACACATACTCATAGACAAATTGCAGAATGATCCATTACTCAAACAGTGCTTAACATATTAGAAACATCATGTTTGTTATGCTGGCGTGTTGGGCATGGTTTGTGACATTGTAGTTTGCTCATGTGTTCATTTGTCCATGTCACCGTGAGTATATGTAATATATAATGTCACTGAATTTTGGAATCATTCGCATTATGCTGGTTTTCTGCATTTGCTCACTCTTCCTCCATCTTATCCTGCTTTGATGGGAAATTTCTAATATCTCATGACTCCATGTGTGTCCACATGTGTTTAACTTGCATGTTGGGATGGCTTTCTCTTATAAGCATGTTCTGCGTGTATGCATTTGCACGGGGTGAATGACATTTCTCATTCAGATTTACATCTGTAGCCAAATTTAGGGTTAAATCTCACTTAAACAGCCTAGAAATGTCCAGATCATATTTCAGCTAAAAAAAAAAGTACTAAATACAGGCTTCCTCCTCTTTATGTAAAATACATTGTATTATTACTGTTATGAAATTTGACTGGGAGGACATGTTTTCGTGAGATTCACTCATGTAGCATTGCTTTTAGTTTTCGCCATGCACCATGACTGCTTGAGCTTAACTTACTGTTCGTCCTGGCCTATAACAATGCACTTCTGGGAGGCTTGACACATCGTCATTGGTTGCACTGTTTAAACATGAAGTGACCAAACAGATGTCACTTTGTTGTATCTGGACGCTGGAGCCATTGTGCAGAGCAGCTTGAGTCATAGAGTTCATTACCGCAGTATCAGCAGAGCTTCAGTAACACCCTCCAGCGCCTGCCTGTGGCCTTTGACCTTTCCTCTTTGAGCCCTGGGCAGCTTGGCTCCCTGTGCCGCGGCTTGCGTCCGGTCCACTCTGTTCTGATCTAACCTCCATTTTTGTTTCCTCTCCACTCAGCCTTAAAGAAGAATAATATTACTAAATTTCCCAATGTGCACTGGAGGGTAAGGAACTCTTCCAGTAGTACCCCAGTGGATGCTACTCAGACCTGGCAAGCATCTCTCTCTTTATTATTATTTGTCTTTCATTCATCTCCATCCATCGTAGATCAGTTGCTTTTGACATTGAATACAAAAGCCATCTTTTTCTGTTTTCATTCTCCTTAACACACATCAGGCCTATTGAGTTCTGACCCTTACGGGCCGAGTCTCCAGGTACTCGTGTACATCACCCTGTTGAACTGATTTGTAAAATTGTGAATTAGTTTGATTAGGTGATGCCGAGACCTGAGACACAGAGACTCTGCCTGCATAGTCTCACCTTGAACTGACCCACACTTAGAGATAGTTGAGTCTTCATTAGTGCCATTAAAACCTATTGAGTTAAGCTTTTGTAGTAGGAACACTGACCCCAAAATGAATTAACACTTTAAAAATGTCAGTGCATTAAAAATGTCATTGCATTAAATGTAAATACATTAACTGAAAGAAATATAAAATAATAAACCAGTAGTTCAATTATGACAACTCATTTGGTATTTGGTCTTGGCAGACTTCATGAGAGCAAGTATGGATACATGCTGTGAGCATGTAAGATATGCTGCTGCTGCTGCATAAATAGGCATATATAAATCCCGCAGCAGATCTAGACAGGTGGAGCTGGGGGAGGTGGAGGGTTTATCATACCACACTGCAAGGACCAGCTTACAAAAAACACTGAACCAGACTATTCAAATGTTAAGCAAGCAATCTCACTGGCGGCAGAACCAGTTAAGATCAATTAACTTGTTCCATGTGGTAAATTATGTGATTGGTAGCAGATTGCAGTTAGAGGACTATGTAAAATCAGCCTGCACCGCACCATCTAGAGCTTCCTGACTTTACTAGATATATGTACTGTAAATAACAAGACACTGAAGTATGCTTTGACAAAACAAAGACATTTGGACAGTTTATTGTTTCCACGAGTCCATGAATGCAAATGCTTCGTGCTACGCAAACTCAATTTGTGAACCAACATGTTCTGATGTGAGACGAAGGGAAAAGGCCATTTAAAGTAGCCATGCATTCTGACGAAATAATATATATATATATATATATATATATATATATATGACAGTCATAAGTGAGTCATTGAATTGTTCATTTAAAACAATTTGTTCAAAAACACAGATTCATTCAGCGCTTTGAGCTTTGGAAAAGTGCTATATAAATTAAACTTCTTATTTTATATTCAGAAACTGATGCTCAGATCAACTGATGAGTTTTAAACTATTTTCATTGACAAAGTAGCTGTCAATATTGTATCTAAAATTTAAGTTACTCAGAATTCACTGCTTGACTATTGAACTGCTGTGCAATCCACAGTCAGTATCAGTACAGCTATGATTACCTGCGGCCAAATCACTGCATTATAGCTTATTGTGTAATATAGCTATATTAATTTGTATTGCAAGGAATGTTTTACAATATTTATTTTGAGGACTCTTAAAAGTAGTACTTTAACTTTGCAGCACACTCGCGGTTAATCGATTCTGTGGTTACTCTGCTAAGATAACTTGAGGAGAATTGACTTACATACATTTAGCTGACACTTTTATCTAAAACAACTTAGACTGCATTTAAGGAATTCATTTTATCAGTTCCTGCCTTCCCTGGGAATCGAACCCATGGCCTTGGCATTGGTAGTGCCATGCTGTACTGTTGAGCTACAGGAATAATGTTAAAACCTCGAAAACACACGTTTATTAAAAGTCATTGTCGTAGAACTAAACTGATGAATTCCCTGCAGCGTTTGAGCGTTGATATTTTGTCACATAATGCAGTGACATTCAGACATTTTATTGTGTGACTTAAAGAGTTCAAATACATTTTGGGGCCACTGTGAGTGTTTTCCCAACAACCTTGTTGAAAACAAATTTCTAAAAAGAGGCAAACTCCATAGTTACCATTCACATTAAATTCAGAAGCTGAAATACAATTAAGTACTTAATCCAGTAAAAACTCAAGCTGCTTTGCCCAGTTGACCACCAGCATGTCCAGATGATCTAAACTCAAATACTGACATCAATTTATTCTGTCCCTCCTGCATCAGATCTGAGAAACCAGCCTTACAGGCGTGCTGACGCCGTCAGGAGAAGCATTCGAAGACGTTTTGATGATCAGAATTTGCGGCCAATCAACAGTGCAGAGATGGTCATGTGATGAGGGCAGAGTGGATGTGACTGGATGGAGTGGAGGAGGAGCTAATAAAGGACTGATAAAGATGACAGCAGGTCTGAAAGCCAAGTGCCTACATTTAACATCTGTCCCATCAGGTGTTGAATCATACATGTGTTTTAGTCAATGTCTTCTGTCTGTGAATTTTTATATGACAAACTGTGTATTGATCTGTCTTTTATCTTATGGCGCTTAAATTGTATGGCTAGATCAGTGTTTTTCTTGAGAAAGTGTCCGAATGTAAAGCTATTCCAACACTTTATGTATCATGAACCTGTACAAAGGCCTCTTACATTCCAGTGCTTTCGCCACAGATTAAAACCGACCACTCGTGTGTTCTCCGAATCTACTGGTCGGTCTTAAAGAAGCCCTGTAGGGTTCGTCAGAGCCTGTTTTTATTGTGGCGTTCACATAGGGGGCACACTCTTGTGTTAAAAAAACAGACAGATAGAGCCCAACAGAATGGAATACAGGTTGAGAACCATTTTAAAAAGTTTTGTAAAAATGCCATGTTGATGGTTTGAGATGCTGCAGGGTGCGACACAGCGGCCAAAGATAACAATAATAAGAACATTCCTCACTTAAGATGATTTGATGTCTGATAGTAGAGGTATTTAAATGTTAATTGTAATTGTAATGGCACTCTTGTGTTAAAAAAACAGACAGATAGAGCCCAACAGAATGGAATACAGGTTGAGAACCATTTAAAAAAGTTTTGTAAAAATGCCATGTTGATGGTTTGAGATGCTGCAGGGTGCGACACAGCGGCCAAAGATAACAATAATAAGAACATTCCTCACTTAAGATGATTTGATGTCTGATAGTAGAGGTATTTAAATGTTAATTGTAATTGTAATGTACCGGTAAATTGAAATGTTCCCAATACCCACACTTGTGGTCTTGGCCACTTGAGAGCATGTGTACTCAACAGGAAGTAAGTGCACAAGACTGTCCCAGGTCTGAAAAATGCCAAAGCACCACAATTAAATTGGTAAAGGTCTGTTCAGAAGCTCTTATGTAACATAGGGGCGTCTGAACAGACCTTTACAAGTTTATTTTAAAGTGCAAAGTACTGAAAATCAAAATGTGTAAATAAAGCTCTGTAAAAACATTTTTTTATATATATATATAAAACTGTGTGCTAAGTGTGTCCCATTGAGCAATCACGCATTCCACACTGATTACCCAATGGGACACACTTGGGACCTGCAGTCTTCATGCCCACTTGAATACTTGGGCCAAATACAGGAAATACATCATGCAAGTACACAAGTGGTCACATGCAAAGACTGCAAGTGTGGGTATTGGGACAGGCCCTTTAAAATTCTTTATAAATTAACAGACTAGTCAGTCGGTCCAACCCTAAACAGGTGTCGATCACAGTCATGGTGGGGTGTTGCACTATTGGGCCACTGAATCAGATGAAGCGGGAGTCCAGTTAAGTAGGAGAAGGTGTAAGAAAAGGTGTTTTAGAAAAAAAAAAAAATTGATGTTAAATACCTGGGACAAAGACAAATGTGAAATATAAACCAGATGCAGCAGAACTCCAGTACCTCGCATTTCTGAAAGACTGTTGACAAGTCTTAATTAAAATGCTGCACAAGCGAGACTGCATGTAGGTTTTGGTTCTCAAACTGTGGGTTGGTTAGGGTTACCTAAACCAAAGTGCAGAAATAAAATTCTTCTGCAGCCTTAAAAAAAAATATGGAGTCAGAGTCGTCAAGCATTTTCAAAAGTTCATTGACTAATCAATCATGTTCAATATAGGTGAAGCTCTGTGCAAAAGCTCGACAAAAACATTTGTTTACATTAAAGCACTTCAAATGAAAGTTTATGGGGCAAGGCATTGCACAGAAATAGTTTTTAAACTAAATCCTCAAGACTTAATACATGTCTACTTGACTATTGTGATAGAAGCAGTTACTTCTTGTCTGTCCTAAAACCAATAATATTTTATAACAGCAGTATAACACTCCTGTCAAGGCCATGTAACTGGATGACTTTACCAGAAGTTACCAGAGTTACATTAACATAACCACAAGTCCACAGTAATCTCTGTGCTAAAATTACAAAAAAAAAGTGCTTTAACAAAAACATGAGCTTTGCAGTACGTCTGCTTTTAAACCCTAGTACACTTTCCCCATAGACTTCCATTGGAAGTGCATTGAGGTAAATGGAATATTGTGTTTTATACACAGAGGATTGAATATATAGTCTGTGGTAATCAACAGATGCTGTTTTGAACACAGAATATTCCTTAATGAATTGTAAGCACTTGCCACTTGCATTCGTGACGTATACGGCCGCTGAGCACTACAGCAAACCTCTTCCCTGTGCCATTTGTTCTTCACTACACAAGATCAGGTTCCTTATAGAATTCAGTTGCTGTAACTGGGCTTGTTTCATGCGTTCTAGGTCAGATAATGGGAAATAAGGCCTGTTATATAAACTGAATTTTGTGTGGTTCTATAATGACCTGCACAAATGAAAATTCACATTTCTTGTGATGTGTAAGTCTATTTAAAAGCAAAAAATATAAAATCACAAAAAAAAAGCATTTGTACAGATATTTTGCTATAAAATTGTTGCATTTTTTAAACTTTTTAATCGTCTAATATTGTACATATTGTTTAAAAACAATATTGTTTAAAAATCATTCTGTACTACAACGTTTGATTATTTTAACTTATAGTTTTCTCTTTTTTTCCTGCATTTTGTATATTTAATAAAACTGAAAACCTGAACCAGGTCTTTTAGACATGCAGAAACATCACTCTAGAACGTCCCGTCTACACTAAAACATGTCAGAAATCAGATGCAGTAGTAGAATTATAGTCATTATAGACGTCCATCTCATCTCTGTACATTCCACTCATAAAAACTGGATTAAACTGTCACTTTTTTGTCCCCTAAAATCAATGTATCTTAGGCATTGTATGCTTACAGTACTGCAAAAAAAGATCTGTTCTCAGATTTAAAGTTAGATGATTTCTCAATGTCCAATTAAACTATTTACACAATGCTGGTCTTCTGTGTTGTTCTTGAGTGAGTGAATAGAAGTAGGATTTTGTACTCCAAAAAGCCTAGTGCTGCTGAAAGTCCTCAAGAATGTGGATTGGTTTAACTACACAGCTAACCTGCTCTAGAATGGGTTTAATTCTGGGCAATAGATCACAAACTGATTTCCAGTCCAAAAACTCTCCAAAACCCACCCAATCCCATAAAAAAAAAAAAAAAAAAAAAATTTTAAACAAAAAAAATTAGGACATTTAGGCTATCCATCTAATA